TGTGGTGCCGATTACCGCAGCATTAATCCCTCCACCATGTGCCCTCCGCCATTAGGATTAGTTCCTGGGGTTCCTCAGCAACAGGGAGGGGGCACATCTGTCAGAGATCCTGGACAGCACCACGTGATCCAAGATGCTCCAGGCTGGAAAAGGAATGATGCTCTCTCCAAAAGGAGTGTCTGCCAAGCCCAGTGTGCAAGAGAGGTGACCCACAGGCCTCCCAGACCTGTCCATCCCCCACTCCAGCTCTTCAGCTGCCTCTGAGGAACCTGGGGCTCCAAGGAACACAGTTTGAAGACTTCTAGGGGTCAACCTAGTTGTTAAATATTCAGATAACCAGTTCTGTCGCTGCTTGTGTAGCCTTGGATAAGGCGTGCCCTCTTTGGTTTTCTTGGGGGGGGGGGTGGTCTATAAAGTGGGGTTAATAATATCTCGGTTACCATGAGGATTAAATTGGAGCATGTTGGTAAAGCAGGTAGCCCAGAACCTCGCACTGAGTGAGGGCTCTGTAAAGGCCAGTCTCTTGTTATAACTTAGCTTTGTGCCACAACTTCTACCCAGCCCCTGTGTCAGGCATCAGATCTTTCTCAGTGAACATTCTAGAAAGTTATTGTCAGTTTTAAGTTTATTTATTTTTGAGAAAGAGCGGGGGAGGGGAGAGAAAGAGAGAGAGAGAAAGAGAATCCTAAGCAGGCTCCAGCACTGAGCCTGACTTAGGGCTCAGGCTCATGAACAGTGAGATCATGACCTGAGCCAAAATCAAGAATTGGATGCTTAACCGACTGAGCCACCCAAGCGCCCCTGTCCCTTGATTATACTTGGCCCAAAAAGAGAAAATGTATTTGCCTTCCTGACACTCGATATGGCTGCACATTGGAAGTACCTGGAGAGCTTTGAAAAACCACTGGTGTCTGGGTCCTACCTCTACAGGTGCCCACGGGCGTGGCTTGGTGATTCTACCATCTAGTCAAGGTTGAGAAGCACCGCCCCAAACCAGTGTGTCTCCACCCCATATTAAAGTTGTGTAGGAACACCCTGGGGGGCAAGGCAAGCCGCAGGTTTGGAGTCCGTGAGTCAGAGCAGGACCTAAGATCCTGCATCTCTAACTGGCTCCCAGGTGACATCGATGCCGGTCCACGGACCACATTTTGAGCAGCAAGCCCACGCCATTTTGAGCAGCAAGCCCACACCATTTTGAGCAGCAAGCCCACGCCGCCATTCCTGGGCTGCACCAACTTCCACTTCGCTGTGTCAGTCGGGCCCCACAGTTGCTTCCCAGCGACCTTGTCATTGACAGGGCTTGGTTCTCCCCACTTCGCTGATGCTTAGGGTCCGGTATGTAAATGGGTGGAGGCAGGCCTTCTGGATCTTAGTCTGCATCCCCCGTGGGCTGGCCTCGAAATAGGCTTGCTAAATTAGGACAAGAAGCGGGCTGAGTGATTTTGCCCAAACTCCAGTTTGGTGACACAGCAAGCTTAGTGACAGTGGTGGGACTGGAACCCTTGTCTTCTTTTCTGTTGTACCTGCCTGCTTGGTCAGTCTTTGCCAAGGCTGAAGCAGGGTGGGAAGCCTGCCTCTGGGTCACAGATTGAATGCCTACTGTGCCAGAAATCAGTGCTTAGTGCTTCCCATGTTATGTCCTTTGGCCTTCACAACAGTCCCATGAGGCATATTCTGTTCTTCCCAGGAAGTGGCAGGAATGGGATTTGGACCCCGAAGTCCTGTTTCCCAAACACGGTGTACCTCCCTTGTTGTCTCCTTATCAGACTACGAGGTCCTCTAGGGCAAGGACCATGTCTCGCTTCGGTTTGTGTCTCCAAACCAGAGCTGAATATATGAATCAGTCCACTCCAGGGTTCTACCTCTGTTGACAGAGACCCTCACCCCCAGGACACCAGCTACTCTCTGAGCTCCTCCCTAACCCCGTGCCCCAAAGCAGCCACTTACAACCCAGATCAGCCTCACCCCTCTGAAGTGAGTGGTTATCTGTAGCATGCCATACAGCAGAGTGGCCACATGGCGGCAGCAGATGCCCACGTGTAAAATCTTTAGGCCCCCACCTCAACCTCCTGTGGAGGCTCATCTGTTCGTTGAGTGCTTCCCCTCCTCCAGGCATTTGTCCCAGGGCTTTCCGTGGTTGAACAAAGATAATCCCCACGACAGCCCTGTGAGGGAGGAATTATTCATCCTCTTTATACATGAGAGATCATATTAGACTTTTGCTTAAATAACCTTCTGTGGCTGCCCACTGCTCTTTGGAAAAATAAAAAATCGGACCCTTGAATCAGACTGCCCGGGTTCAAATCCCAGTTCCACCAGTTGCTACTTATTCGACTTTGGTTGGGTTTATTGACTTCTCTAGGACTTCAGTGTGCTGACCTGTAAAGGGAGTCATAAAATAGAGCCTGCCCCCTTGTGGTGGGAGCGAGGATTACATGTGCTGGGACACCCAGAGCACACAGTCCTGTGGCTGGCACACAGTAAGTGCTCAACGAATGTGAGCCGCTGTGATGACCATCGGCCCCTCCCGGTGCTCCCTACTCATGACCCCGCTGGTCTCTCCTCTCTCTCTCCATCTCCTGTTTGCCTACTTCGCCGTCTCCCCTGCTCTCTTCCTCCCCATCTTTCTCCCTCCAGTTACAGAACTCAGCCTAGTCCCAACACTTCTTGAAGGTGTTTTCTGATGTCTCTTCTTTGTGGACCATGTTCGGGTTTTTAGAGCTCAGAGCAGGACTTGTTACACAGAGGGGCAGGAGGCTCCAGAGTTCAAGTGGACTGTGGACCCTGGGGACTCCTGCTGGGTTCCTCTTTGGCCCTCATCCTGAAACTCTTCCTTCTGAGTTCAACTTCTCCATTTCACATGCTCCCCACATTATTTTGAGGGCACTCCCTTGTCCCCAGATCCACTCCAGAACATCCCCATAGAGGGGAAACAACTGTCACCACCCTCATCTTCTTGGGAAGAATGAAGAAAGTGTCTGAAATTAAGACAGGCCTGGATTGATCAATCTGCTCATCTGTTTGCACATGTATCCATTGAGTCATCCAAGAAACACTCATGGAGGGTCTGCTCTTCACCAGGTCTTACACTCAGGTCTGGGGAAGGACACAAGGGCAACAAGTACTCACCGTTAACCCCCTTTTTTTTTTTTTTTTTAGTATTTATTTAATTAAGCTCTACATCCAATGTGGGGCTTGAACTCACAACCCCAATATCAAGAGTTGCATGCTGTTCCAACTAAGCCAGCCAGGTTCTCGGTACATATTTCTTGAGCACCTACTAAGTCCTGGGCACCGTTCAAGGTGCTTGAAGCTATCTCAGTGAACAAGACAGATAAAGATTCCCTGATCTTGTAGAGCTTACATTATAGCAGAGGCAACAGAATAAATACATCAAGTGGCATGTTGGAAAGTGTTACATGCTATGGAAAGTAAATAGAGGGGAGGAGATGGGTGGATTATAGTATTAGACTAGGAGATGAGGATGGCCTCACTGAGAAAGAGATGTCTAGCAAATCACCCAAAGGAAGTAAGGGAGGTAGGGATATGGCCAGCAGAGGAAGAGAGTCCTCGGTAGGGGGACATGCAGAGGGCTCTCGGATGGTGAGTGTTCCTGGTACGTTGAAGGAAAAGCAAAGAGTCTGACGGCTGGAGCACACTCAGTGAGGAGCAGGGCAGGAGGCCGGGTCAGAATGGAAATGGCAGACCAGGTCGTGGAGAACTTCATAGGCTGTGGGAAGGACGTTGGTCCTCACTCGGAGTGACATGGGAGCCACTGCAGGGTTTAGAGCAGAGGAGTGGCATGACCCAACTGACATTTTTAAAGGACCACTTGGCCTTGTGTGCTGAGAGCCAACTAGAGGGCCAGGACAGGGGCGGGGAGAGCAGGCGGGAGTGTGTTCAGATGACAGACGGCGGGGGTCTGGACACGCTCCAGAGATGGAGCCAGTAGGACTCGCTTATGAATTACAGCAGGACATGAGAGGGAAAGGGAGGACCAGGAACGGCTCCAGAGTTGGGGTTTTTTCTAAGTTTATTTATTTATTTGGAGAGAGAGAGAGACAGGGAGAACGGGGGAGGGGCAGGGAGAGGGAGACAGAATCCCAAGCAGGCTCCATGCTGTCAGGGCAGAGCCTGACGCGGGACTTGAACCCTCGAAACCATGAGATCATGACCTGAACAGAAACGAAGAGTGGGAACTCAACTGACTGTGCCAGCAAGCCACCCCAGCTCGAGTTTTGGGCCTAAGCAACTGGAAAGGTGAAGCCTGTGCAGGGGGGGGCGGTTTGGAGCAGAATTTTGAGATATGAAAGTATGGACATAGGTAATTGGAAATTTGAATCTGGAACTTAGAAGTCTGTGTCACAGATATAATTTAGAAAATCATCGGTGTTAGAAAATAGTAGATAATATTTAAAGCCATCACCAGGGAGTGAAACAATGTAAAGAAAGAGTCTGAGGACTGAGCCCCGAGGTCCAGGAGATTTGAGTGCTGGATGATGGCAAACGCCACCAAGTCATGTAGCGTGGGTGCAAATCGCCTACTGGCAGAAACTTAAAGCAGTGGGTCAGCAGGACACGAGGCACTGGTACATCGTACAGCCTCTCATCATCGTCTGGAGAGAGGTTTGAGGGTCCGGGCATAGCTGGAAACATCCAGCTGGAGTGTGTCCAAAAGACCCCCACCCACCCCCTAGCTTCTACTGTATTGTTTTATAGGCAGTGTGAGGTCAGCCTTGCAAGTAAAGATAAACTGGTCTGAGCTCAGGCACCAGAGAAATTGCTTGCAGCGCTGAAGCCACCTGAAGACGCTGAGGGGCATGGAGACCATGTGGAATCAGTTCTGCTTTGGGAAGCAAGGGGCTGGAGTCCACCTGCTGTCATCTCATTGCTAGAACCTGGAGTGAGCTCCCAGGGTCTTCCAATACAATCCAAATTGTTTTCTTCAAGGTCTATCCCCTGACCTAGGGCTCATCAAACATAAGCCTGACCGCTGGGGATAGAAATCAACTGGAGTGGCATGAACAACAGGGGTAGAAATGAGCTGGTCTTGTAATGGGATGTCCAGTGGTTGTTGGCAACTCCAGGGGAGGCACTGTGGAAGGAAGGGGGGCCTAGAATGTCAGTCCAGAGCCTGTTGTGGAGGCCTGAGCCATCCGGCCATGGAGTCCATGCCAGACGCAAAGACCTATATCCAAATCATAAAACAGTCCCGGGATATAAAGTGAACTGCTCAATATTCTGCCCATGGGCCTTAACCCCATCTGAGCAAGGGATGGGGACACGGTTGTGGAGGCCCGAGACACAGCTGTTGGTGGTTGTGGCCAACTAGGAGCAATGTCTAAGCCATTGTCGGAGGGTGAGTCACCGGGAGGTCTCCTCTAGCTGGGTATGGTGGCCAGGGGCAAGGGTGATGATAAGTTCAGTACTGCGACAGGTTGGTGCCATGGGCATTGGCCTCGGCAGCTGCTAGAGGCTGTTGAACATTGTCCAAATCTGGAAGAGAAGTTAAGAGGTCACTTAGCCCTCCACCTTGGCTTGTTTCCTGAGATTGCTTGCATGTGTTCTTGCTAGATTAGCTGCAGTCTGTCAGGTGCCTAGGACGAGCCAGATGATTTGTCCTTTCCCAGAGCATTGACCTTGTAGGAGCCCAGGAGTCAGCATTCTGCCTGACACATCAGCCGTGCCCCTCCCTCTCCTAGGTGCCCACAGAGGACGATGAGCGGCTGACGTAACTGTACCCTGAGCGAGTCATAGCAAAGCTCCCTCATCGTCACTACCTGCAGGTGGCCAGTGTGGAGGAACAAGTGAATTCTGTGTTGACAAGGGCCAGGACTGGGAGGTAGAAGCTATAAGCAGAGTTCCATTGTCAGATTGTATCATATTGGGAAATTTTAAACACTATTTTTTTTTATGTCTTTGTTTTATTCTGAGGGGGGGGAGGGGCAGAGAGAGAGGGAGACACAGAATCTGAAGCAGGCTCCAGGCTCCGAGCTGTCAGCACAGAGCCTGATGTGGGGTTCAAACCCACGGACTGTGAGATCATGACCTGAGCTGAAGTTGGACGCTTAACCGACTGAGCCACCCAGGCGCCCCCATATTGGGAAATTTTAGCACACAGCAAAGGTGTGCATCAGAACATTAGGAGTCTGGGTGATATCTGCTTGGGGAAGAATCTAGCCACCCTATATCCTAAACCAGGTCTTGGTGGTCAGAATCCGTTGCAACCAATTTGCCTGTTGTGCACGGACCAGATCCCCAAGTCATTGTGGTACACCTGGAGCCACGAGCCAGGACTTCTGGCAAGTAAGACATACTCTGTGAGCCCAGTGACATCATAGATCAAATGGATCCTCATTGGGCCACCTTAGACCTCCATGATGGTTTTTGTTTTTTTGTTATTGTGGTGGGTCCAGGCATGGATCTGGTATACCAAGTGGATGTGATAGCATGTCATTTTGATCAGCTTTTCTGTCCAGAGGCTCTGTCAAGGTGCAGTGCCTTATTGTGTGTTTGTTCGTTGTCACATACAGATGGAGTTTGTGGCTAATTGCTTTATCTGTTTCCACAGCAGAGGGTACCATGTGGATGTGCTCCTAACGCTCCAGTTCTGGGTAGTCCCGAGGCCTGGTCATACAGCAAGACCTTTAGCAATGGCCCACGAAGCTGTATGAAGGGGACTTGTTACAAAGATGTAAGCAGCACACATAGGGAATCCACAAAGATAGCATGGTACCGCTGGGCAGGAAAAATGGAGGTGAACCCTATCACCCACCCCTGGCTCCAAAGGAAACCTGGAAGAAGAAGGTTTGGTAAAGAGAGCCTCCCTGAGAGGAGTGATCCTCTGTGAAGGAACCTGGCCAGCCCTAAACCAGCCTGAGGCAACCCCAGGATGGAGAGTTGAGTTGGAGAGCAAGGAGAAGATATTGGACCCATAAGGGAGGGTTGTGATTTTAAGTAGGGAGGTCATGGGAGTCCTCAGTAAGAAGGGATCATTTGAGCAAAGACCTGAGAGGGTGTAGAAACTCACTGAATCCTCACAGCAAGCAATCAGGTTGGTAGTGCTACTCCCCCCATTTTCCAGTTGAGCAGACTGAGGTACAGCAAGGATAAACAACTTAGAATTGTCCAAGATCACACAGCTGGCAGTTGATAGAGCTGGGGTTTAAAGCCAGGCAGTTAGGGTCCAGAGATCCTGCTCTTAAACAAAACAGGATATAGGAGAGCCATCATAAACGGAAAGGGCAGAGAAAATGTCAGGACACATGACTGTGATCAACATTCAGAGATGCTGTTGATTGAGCACTGACTATATACTAGCCACAGTGTTGGGTGCTGTGGGGCAAAATACACATGAACAAGATGCTGAGCTTGCCTCAGAGAGCTTATAATCTAGCCAGAGGGTGGGGAGGGAATATGGAAAAGTGCGCAAATCAGATCCCAGCAGGCTGTGGATGATATACTATTGAACTGTAGATAAGATGCTGGGGGTGCACTAATGATAGAGACTATTTGCAGCTGGGTGAGGGTGCAGCTGGGTGAGGGAAGTGTTCTGGAGGCCGGAAGCACTAAAGGATTGTAAGGAGAAAGGGGAAGATAAGGGATTCCAGGGAAAGAAAACAAGTGAGAAAGATGTGGAGGCATTTGGGGGATGACCAGTCATCTGGTTTGAGTAGAGATCACTTTAGGAGGGGCACCAACAAGACGGAAAGACACTCTGGCCCCCACAGCGAGGTGGTGATTTCCTTCCCAGCTCCCCCTGTGGAGAAGTCTTAGGTTGGTGCTAGCATCTCTCTCAAACACTAATACCTGCTAATCTCTTTTTAACCCGAAGTTCCCAGGCTCAGATGCTTCAATGGGGAACCAAGCTCTGATTGGCATTTTAAAAGTAACATTGTTCTGTCTTCACGGTCTTGTTGTCGTTGACAGTTATGTTCTTTTTTTAACGTTTATTTATTTTTCAGAGTGAGAGACAGAACATGAGTGGGCAAGGGGCAGAGAGAGAGGGACACACAGAATCTGAAGCAGGCTCCAGGCTCCGAGCCGTCAGCATAGAGCCCAGTGCAGGGCTTGAACCCACAACCTGTGAGATCATGAGCTGAGCCAAACTGTGACGTTCAACCGAGTGAGCCACCCAGGTGCCCGTTGACAGTTATATTCTATTTTGGGCAAATGATAGAGCTTTTTAGTGTACAGATAATTATTCTTATTTTTATTATTACTTTCCTTCACAGATAAATTTATCTAAGGAAAATACAGTCCGTTTAAAGGGACAATATTAAGTTAAATATTCAGGTGGTTCATGGCTCTGGCAAAAATCACAAAGGGGGTACCCCAGTGACTGATGTTTAGGGTTCTGGCACAAGGCATAAAGCACGTAAGGGAGAGTAAGGGGTCAGGGAAGCCTGGAAAGGAGGTCAGATCATGGAGGGCCTGAACACCATGGCAAGGAGTGTGGCTTTTATTCTGTCAGCCACAGCGATGGCGTAGGCTCAAGAAGAGGCGGTGGACTTGCCCAGAGCCGTGCTTGGCAGGCCTTGGCTCTGGCCTCTGAGCAAAAGAGAAGTGGAAGACTGGGGGCTTGGGCAGCCATTACAAGGTGAACAGGTATAGGGCCGTGGACTAGGGTTGAGGTGGTCCAGCTGAGAGGAAGAGTTGGGTTCTGAGCCCCTGTCAGGTCGTATCTTAGAGTGCTGTCTGGCTGACCTAGCACTGACTTCTTTTCCAAAAGTGATCGGCCTTCCAGCCTCCAATTCTGCTGTCCAGTGTGATCTACTAAGAAAATTCAATAGTCTCCGACTGGGTTTTACTGAGCAAAGGTAACATCAGAAGAGGCCAGCCCACCCCAGTCTCTCTAACCTCATGAAGGGGAATTAGAAGAAGTACAATCAGAGATGGTGGAGAAGATGGAGTCATGCCTCCTTAGTCTGTGTTTCCTCATGGGAAAAGTCCGCTTCCGGCCTGACCTCCTGTGGTGACTCATTCTGTTCCATACAGCGAACATCTGATTTTCTAAGGCCTTCAGCTTCATTTCGCTGAACATGAGCCGTTCAAGGACCTTGTCCTGGAGGGCAAAGCAGGCATGCAGCCTCTCAACTTCCTTTGTGTTCATGATGCAGCCGTTGGGTTTGGCTTCAGGAGGCTTAGGTTTCTCTGCCTCTTCCTAAACTCACCCACCATGAGAAAAGGAAACCTTGGTTAATACAGATTTACAAACGTCATGGTAATCAAGCCTCACAACCAGCCTGCAAGGAGAGCATCTTTGCCACACCCGGTAGGTGAGAGATGTGGGGTCTAGTGAGGAAAAGTCCCTTTCCCAGTATCACCCAACCTGCATTTGGGAGCCTCCAAAACTGCCAGGACCCATACTTGCCTTGGGTTCATAGGAATAAATGGAGTGGCCCCGTAATCTGCACTCACAGGGGACATAAACGCTGAACCCAAATATATCTGTGTCCGGAGCTTGTGTTTCACGTGTGCCTCTCTGCGACTTGAGTCAGGCCTCATAAAATCACCAACTGCCAAGTCCCAGTGGCCTCATGATACACTCTCACCTTTATAATCCTCATCTGCCCCCATGCAGTTTGTAACACTTGATTTTTTTTTCTTTCAGGGTTCAGCTACAAATCCCTCATCTTTAAAACCATTTTATTTTTTTAATGTTTTAATTTTTTAAAATGTATTTATTTTGAGAGAGAAAGCATGAGTGGAGGGAGGGGCAGAAAGAGAGGAGAAAGCAAGAATCCCAAGCAGACCCCACCCTGGGCAGCGCAGAGCCCCACGCAGGGCTCGAACTCACAACCATGAGATCATGACCTGAGCTGAAGTCTGAGGCTTAACTGACTCTGGATTTCGGTTCAGGTCATGATCTCGTGGTCGTGAGATGGAGCCCCAAGTCCGGCTCCCCACTGAGTGTGGAGTTTGCTTGGGTTTCTCTCTCTCTCCCTCTCTCTCTTTGTCCTTCCCTGACTCCTGAGCATATGTATGGTCTCTCAAAATAAATAAACTTAAAAATACAGGGGTGCCTGGGTGGTTCAGTTGGGCAACCGACTTTGGCTCAGGTCATGATCTCACAGCTTGTGAGTTTGAGTCGGGCTCTGTGCTAACAGCTCAGAGCCTGGAGCCTGCTTTGGATTCTGTGTCTCCCTCTCTCTCTGCCCCTCCCCTGCTCATGCTTTCTCTCCCTCTCTCAAAAATAAATAAACATTAAAAAAATTTTTAATAAAAATATAAAGTTAAATACTTTAGGCATGCAAGACAAGTGAGTATTACAGCAAATAGCCATGTTCTCATTCCAGCTTAAGAAATAAAATATGACAAATGTAATGTGAAGTCCCCTGTGGATCCCTCTCCTAGGGGTCCCCTCCCTCCCTGAAGCTCATCTCAACTGCAATCCTGAATTCGGTATTTATTTTTTCCATACATTTCTTTATATCAGTGGTTCTCAGTGGGAGGCTGTTTTGCCTCCCCACAGGACATTTGGCAATGTTTATAGACATTGTTGCTTGTCATGCATCTGTGGGTAGAGGCTAAGGATGCTGCTAAACATCCAATAATGCACAAGACAGACCCTCGCGATAAAGAACGATCCTGCTCAAAGTATCTGTGGTGCAGAGGTTGAGAAATCCAGCCTCAATATATTTTCATTACACATAGGCATCCATAAACAAGGCAGGGTATTATTTTGCATGTTTTTTAACTTTATGTAAAAGATGTCATAATCTGGGTACAATTTCTGTTGTTTTTATTATGTTATTCTAGAGATGTGTCTATGTTACACAGATATCTTTAGTTCATCTATTTAAAATTTCTCCACTTTAAAGTAGTTGTTATTGTTGTCAGACCACAGTGACTGACATTAAGCATGAAGCAGAAGAGTTTGGGGTGGTCCCTATTTCTTTCTTTCTTTCTTTTTTTTTTTTTTTTTTACAAATTTTTCTCTCTTTTTATTGAAATATAATATACAGTATTGTATTAGTTTCAGGTGCACAATATGATTCAACGATTGCAGACATTTTTCAGTGCTCATCAATAGAAGTGTAGTCTTAATCTCTTTTATCTATTTCACCCCTTCCCCACCCACCTCCCCTCTTGCAACTACCAGATCTCTGTATTTTAAGAGTTTGTCTTCTTGTTTTTCTAGGGATGGTCCCTATTTTATAGCCAACGCAACTGAAGCCCTGTGAAGGAAGCGCTTTGTCCTGCATCACCCAGGTGGGAGCTGAAGAGCAGGGGCTTAGACCAGAGCTACGGACTCATCAGTCTTGCCCCATTATCCTGACATCTTCCCTGCCCCCCATCCCCCAGTCTAGCTGTAAACATCCCATCATCCTCAGCTGAAGCCAAGGCCCCTCTCACTCACCTTCTGGGGCTCTGGTGGGGCAGGCTTGACTTGGACTTCATGCTTGACCAACCAGTTGCTAAGCAACAGCAGAAGGAATAGGAACCCAAACAAGACTGGCTTATAGCTGATCAGCCAAGCCACCAATGTTCCTATGGTGCCCGAGGAAGCAAGTATCCCATGGAGATTCCTTAAAAGAGACATTAGTTCCCCCAGCATTATGGCTTGGAGGCACCCAGGCCCCAAGACCCTGCCTTGGTGACCCCTCTAGGACAGTTACCCTCCATGACAGGAGCTGTGGCTGCCCCCTCCTCTGAGTCATAACCAGTCCCCCTCTCCCAGCTGCCGCATAACAATAATATTAGCTACTCCTATGTCTTAAGCAGCCACTGTGTGCCAGACTTTGACAGGCAGCTTGCAAGCAATATCTCATGACGTCCTCACAAGAGCCAGGCGATGTAGGCCTTAGTGATACCTCATTTATTCAGCAGTACTTCTGGGCCTAGCCACTGGGGATAAAATGGCCAACAGCACAGAGCCCCTACTCTCATAGTGACAGGGTCTGCAAAGAAAAATTACCCAAGATCAGGAAATAAGGCAAGAAGATTACATTGAGCCTGTTTACCGTCATACTAAAATTCTGTCCAGCTGGTCTACCTGTTGGTCATCTGATGCTTTAGGGGAAGGTAACTTTGACTTACTGTTTGATATTGATTAGGGCACTGACTCTGTATAGTCAGATGTTAACTTTTTAAAAGTTGGATAAGTTGCTCTGGCAATTACATTACTGGGTATATATCCAAAATAACTAAAAGCAGGGTCTTCTTTTTTCCTTCATGTTTATTTATTTATTTTTGAGAGAGGAAGTGCGTGTGTGTGAGTGTAGATGGGGGGGGAGGAGGAGGGGGGAGGGCCAGAGGCCAGGGAGGAAGGAACAGGGGGCGAGGGGAGAGAGAGAGAATCTCAAGCAGGGTCCGAGTTGTCAGTGCAGAGCCTGACATGCGGCTCGATCCCACAAACTGTGAGATCATGACCTGAGCCAAAATCAGTCATTGGACGCTCAACCAACTGAGTGGCCCAGGCACTCTGAAAGCAAGGTCTTGAAGAGATATTTGTACACTTATGTTCATAGCAGCATTATTCACAGTAGCCAGAGGTGGAAGCAACCCCAAAATCCAACAACAGATGAATAGATAAACAAAACACTATATATATATATATATATATATATATATATATATATATTTACAATGGAATTATTCAGCCTTAAAAAGGAAGGAAATTCAGAAAACCCTGTGGGCTGTTGCAGTGCTCTCCTTTCCAATCCTCCATCTGATGTGCAAGGTGGAACCACTACCAAGATGCAGATTTTCATGAAAACCCATCAGTGTCCAGGTGGCACCCTAAAATACAGTAGAAAATGTAAAGGCCAAGATCCAGGATAAGGAAGGAATTCCTCTTGATCAGTAGAGACCGGTCTTTGCTGGCAAAGCAACTGGATGGTGGACATACTTTGTCCGACAACTACGTTCAAAAGGAATCCACTCTCGTGGTGCGATTTCATGGTGATGCTAAGAAAAAGAAGTCTTACACCACTCCCAAGATGAAGAAGCATGAGAGAAAGAAGGTAAAGCTGGCTGTCCTGAAATACTGTAAGGTGGATGAGAATGGCAGAATCAGTCACCTTCATCGGGAGTACCCTTCAGAGGAATGTGGTGCTAGAGTTTTTATGGCTAGCCACTTTAACAGACATTATTGTGCCAAATGTTGTCTGACCTATTGCTTTAACAAACCAGAAGACAAGTGATCATATATGTGTTAATAAAAGACATGAGCTAACATTAAAAAAATTTTTTAAAGGAAGGAAATTCTGAAACATGCTGCAACAGGTTTGAACTATGAGATTATGCTAAGTGAAATAAGCCAGTCACAAAAACACAAAAGCTCTTTGATTCCACCTACATGAGATATCCAGAGTAGGCAAATTTACAGAGACCGAAAGTAGAATGGCGGTTGCCAGGAGGCAGGTGAACGAGAAGTTGTGGTTTAATGGATACAGAATTTTATATGAGGAGAGCTCTGGAGAGATTGTATAATCATGTGACTATAACACTAGTGAACTATACACTTAAAAATGGTTATGGTGAAGGGCACATGGGTGATGGAGTTGGTTGAGGATCTGATTCTAGATTTCCACGTGGGTCGCTGGGTTCCTGCTGACAGCTCTTTTCTCTCTGCCCCTTCCTCATGCATGTGCTCTCTCTCAAAATAGATAAACTTTTAAAAACATGTTTAAGGTGAGGGCATCTGGGTGATTCAGTTCATTAAGCATCCGACTCTTGGTTTTGGCTCAGGTCATGATCTCACGGTTTGTGAGTTCAAGACCCGCATCAGGCTCTGCACTGACAGTGCTTGGGATTTTCTCTCTATTCCTCTCTCTCTGCCCCTTCCTCCCTCCCCCGCACCCCCCCCCCCTCTCTCTCTCTTTCTCTCTCAAAATAAATAAACTTAAAAAATGGTTGGGGCACCTGGTTAAGACTTATGTGTATTCTACCACAACTTTANACATGTTTAAGGTGAGGGCATCTGGGTGATTCAGTTCATTAAGCATCCGACTCTTGGTTTTGGCTCAGGTCATGATCTCACGGTTTGTGAGTTCAAGACCCGCATCAGGCAGAGCCTGGAGCCTGCTTCGGATTCTGTGTCTCCTTCTCTCTCTGCTCCTTCCCTGTTCTCTCTCTCTCTCTCTCTCTCTCTCTCTCTCTTTCTCTCTCTCAAAATACATAAACATTAAAAAAATTGTTTTAATGGTTAAGACTTATGTGTATTCTACCACAACTTTAAAAAATGAAATAAATTAGTTATTTCTAGGAAATCCTAAATGAGTAAGTTGCAAATGATTTTTTTGCAAATAGAGGCAAATGAGTTCTATCTGATAGAAAAGATAACATCAAAGTCTTGTAAGACATTAACCACTTTTTTCTTACTCCAGAATTGTTTTCCACTGACTAGTGACTAAATATCAGTTTTTCATATTTTCTCTTGTTGTTGTTTTTAATGTTTATTTATTTTGAGAGAGAGAAAGTAGGGGAGGGGCAGAGAGAGAAGAACAGAGAGAGAATCCCTAGCAGGCTCCACACTGTCAATGCAGAGCCAGACATGGAGCTCAATCCCACAAACTTGGAGATCATGACCTGAACTGAGATCAAGAGACAGATGCTTAACCAACTGAGCCACCCAGGTGCCCCTATATTTTGCTTTGAACCAGTGTTATCATCCTGCTGGGGCACCTGGGTGGCTCAGTCAGTTAAACGTCTGGCTTCGGCTCAGGTGATAATCTCATGGTTCATGGCTTCCAGCCCTGAGAAAGGCTTGGTGCTGACAGCTCAGAGCCTGGAGCCTACTTCAGATTCAGTGTCTCCCTCTTTGTCTGTCCTTCCCCTGCTGATGCTCTGTCTCAAAAATAAAACATTTAAAAATTTTTAAAAATGAGTTAAAGAAATCTTTGACATATGCTCACTATTTTGTATGGGAGTTCTTCATATTCAAATGTCAATTTTAATGGCTATGATATTCTATTTAATTAGTGGCCACTTGTTGGGCCTTTAGGTTAGTTTTCCTTTATTGTTATTATATATAACCTGAGGTAAACAGCATTAAAGTTAAATCTTTGTACACACACTTACATCTTTTCCTAGAATGTCTTCTTGAAAGTGGAATTGCTAGGTCAAAGGATATGCATATTTAAAAATCTAATTTTAAGTTTTATAATATTATTAAATGTGCAAACAAGTCAGATAGAACTACAGAGTTTAAAACAATCTTTGATCTCCTATCTCACCCCTTCCCATCCTCAAATTATATGACTCAGACAACTTGTTCCAACTTTTTAACTGTTTCTTCTGGTATTTATCTTGATATATCTATATTGTATGCTTGTACTGTTATTTCTTGATTTCTCAATTTTAACATTACATACTATCTTTTTATGATGGAAGATAAGGATTTAGCTCCTGTGCAGAACCTCCCCCATTCCCATTTTGTCCCTCCTCTGTAAATCCCTCTCACCTCTCTCCTCCGCAAATTTTCTCTTTTCTCCATTCTTTCAATATAATTCTATCACTTTGGTGAAAACAGTATTCATGATGTTATTAAGGCCACATCAGTGTAGTTCATAGCTGAGCCATATGTCATTGTAATCATTGTACTATGATTACACCTTTTTTCTCGCACAGAGAAAATTTTCCTGGACTTAACTACCCTCCTTCCTTCCTTTTTTTTTATTTGCATAGTTAAAAAAATTCAACTTCATTGAACTGAAATTGGCATAAGTAAAATATAAAAATACAGATAGTATAGTACAGTGAGTTTTGACTAATGTGTAGCCTGGCCAATCGGGATAAAAAAAACATTTCCATCAACCCCAGCAAATTCCCTCCTGCTCAGGGCTCACCTTCATCCCAAGGGCTCACTGATTGGATTCTAGCACTAGAGATTAGTTTTACTAGTCCTTGAGCTTCATGTAAGTGTAATTATTTTTTGAAAATTACAGTTTGAAGGGGTACTGGGGTGGCCCAGTCAGAAGAGCATGCGACTCTTGATTTCACAGTCGTGAGATCAACCCCAAGCTAGGTGTAAACATTGCTTTAAAAAAAAAAAAAAGGCTTTAAAAAAAAGGGAAGAAAATTACAATTTGAAGAGAGACGTGTAAAAAAGCAATTATAATTGTGTCTAATAAGTAGAAACAAGCTTGACGAATACAAGCTGTTCCAGTGTTCGGTCACTAAAGGAGTCCTGGAGGAATTGAAAAAAATTCACCACCATCATCTGCAGCACTAGAAAGAATTAACCTCAAGTAAAAAGAGGTGTTATGTATGGAAGACTTGGAATGGGAGGAGGTATGAGGGCGAGTGAGGGAGTGCTAATGGGAAAGAGGTCCAGACAGAAGAGCATGAACACAGCCCTCGAGGCAACAGCCGTCCAATTTGGACTCAACCCTGGATTTCCTGACTTCTGTCCATTTTATTACCACGAAACTCACTTGCTCTCTAAGATTCCCCTGTCCAAGCAGTACAATTAGGAAACAGTAAGATGACTTACGAGGTACATTTCAGTGTTTTCTCTTCACTAAATTTGTAAGCTCTTTGAAAGCAAAAACTTCATAATTAAACCCTTGCCACGTAGAAAGCATTAATAAATATTGGTTGAACTGACAAATTGAGTAGGTGAATGAATGAATTTATGGATGTATGCAAGTCCCCGGAGCGAATGGTCACCTTCGGAGGTGTAGTCTGGCCCAGAAGCCCTAGGAGCGGGA